GATCCTGGGCTGAACTCAGGAAACCAAATATATGAACTGTGTTTGTTCTATGGTGTATTGTGTATTTCTTTCTCATTGTAGTATGAAAAGAAATGCCCATCGACTGTGAGGAAGCGGCGTTTTACCGAGAGATAGTAGATGCGACTAAAGATAACGCGTCGTCTATTGTGAGATGAATAGAAGTGCGCATGAGTGTCTGAAATGTTGGTATAGGATCTATACCAAGTACTGCGAATAGAGCGGGAGACGACACCAAAGGAGATCAAGAAGGCTTATAGGAGGCTGGCAGTTCGATGGCATCCTGATAAACACCGGTGCGTTAGTACTAGGTGGACGAGAGTATAGGGTTTTCAGATTTATAGTATTGGAGATCAATATTGTATATATCTATGTATAGAGGAAAATAATACATGATATTAGTTTATATTATATCAGTAAATTTAGATATGTACGATATTAATGTAATAGGTATAAAGCATATGGAGTCCATATTATGGACGCACGCGTGCATGTGCTGCGAAAGAATGGATCTCAATTCATTCCATAAACGTGTCGAAATTGTGGCGAGAGATGCACATGGCCAACAACATGTTTTGGTGACAATACGAAAATTGTGGAGGAATTCTTGGCTACATATTAATTCGTATATAAACTCCTATTATTAGTGAGGAAAGCCCCGAGTTCAGCTGCTGAGGAAAGCGAGCATATATTCCGACACTCAGTGTTGAACACTGTCCTGAAATTCTTCCGGAAATTTTGCGGAAGTAGTCAACCCCGGATCCAAACTGAAAATATTCCCATTATATTTACTACTGCTGAATGATGATGTTATTCTCATATCTAGATGGCGTTCGCCCAGAATGCCGTTTCATTCGTGATTTTTTGTATCGCAATCAGCGTCATAACAGTAGACACTATTCTTGAGTCGTCTCGTTTTAATTCCCCGACCGACGAGTATAGTGGAGTTTCACCTGTTTTACGTGAAGTGGCGTAAAACTCGGTGAAAAACGCGATTTTCGCGGCCTGTACTAGTCGTGCAATATACTTTTCACTAGTGTTTCTCGTATCACGGGTGAAACTCCAGTGGAATCGAAATGGACGTGGAATGAGCGTTGGAGAACTGCATTCAGGAACGATTTCGACAAGGCGTTCGCCGAGAGCGTTTTCAAACTCATCGCGAGGGCATATGAGGTTCTCTCTGATGAGAACAGCAGAGCGGATTATGATGCGGGTGGTTTCAACGGCGGTATTTTCTGTAAGTAGCAGCGGAGTTTCACCTGTTTAACGTGAAGTGGCATAATACTCCATGTTTATTATTGAAAATGTGTTTTCTGCGTCCGATAACACAAGTGAAATGTGAAATATGTTTTTCACTGGTGTTTTTTTTTCATACCACGGCTGAAACTCCAATATTATCTACTACTACTACTACTACATAACCTCATTAATAGAGGGTGTATATGATTGTCGTAATGCAACACCTTCATTGGAGTTTCACCCGTTTCACTTGAAGTGGCGTAATACTCTGTGAAAAACTCGATATTCGTGCTATGCGATAGTCGTGAAATATACTTTTCACTAGTGTTTCTCGTATCGCGAGTGAAACTCCATTATTGATATTTGCATGTTCGGTGTGGCTATAATATTATAAATATTAATTTAATGTTTGCTGTGGTAGGCACTGATGGTGAGGCGGGAGGAGGATTCAACTGCCCTAATCCGAATGATAGTGAAGCCTTTGAAACCTTCTTTAAAAACGTAATCAGTTTGGCAGGGGCGGCTGAATTATGTCGGTTAATGTGTTTCTTGTAGTTCTTCGATGACACTGATACGAGCGGTAAGCAGTACGGTGAATGGAGTTTAAATGATGTAAATAACTACACTCAGCTGAAGTAAGGGAGGTTCTTGCGAAGCGACTACTTTGTGGTTCGTTCGGTCAACTCTTTCTCAACGACTACATCAGTTGAAATCTCGAGACACGTATCATTCTGGAGGGTCTTCCTCCCAGAGATATGAAATTTCTCTCGACTGTGGTGCCCTATGTCGTGAATTTGCCGGGACTGTTGAAAGAGCTAGAAAAAGCCCATACCGGGGATCGAACCCGGGACCGTTAGAAATACTTGGAGCTCCGTTCCTTCGTCTCGGAAGCTACCTAGCAGCAGTGTGTTGTAGCATTTACTGTTGTTGTTGTTATCAGCATGGCTCATCTGGAGCGCGACTCGCCGCATATGGTTGACATCGTGAAATGTGGGCTGAGATATTTAGCTGCGGTAAGTGTGGACGTGTGTCGGTGAAAATTTGGGAGGAAAGTTTTGGGAATTTTCTGTTGATTTGTAGAATTTGTATATAAAAGTCTATAACTAGTGAGAAAACTCTTGAGCTCAGCTGAGGAAAGTGAACATATATTCCTCCAACACTGATTACGTAGCCAACGAGAAATTCACATTTCTGAACCTTGCAGATTGCCCGCGTGCCTTATGTGTGAGTACTTGTCAGGGAAATTACGGTATCAGTTCAGTGTGTGGTAGTTCGTTATTGTAGTAGAGTATTGTCTAGGCTTCAGCATGAAACATTACTTAATGTGAAATGATTTTTTCCCGAATTTGCATAGGAAAAAATACGCTCTTCATTAGGTTGTCGACGATTTCGATACTATGAACGTGGCACTGCTAAGACATGACCGGATTGATTGTATATACGTTTTGCTGGCTTATGATATGGACAGTAAGGACTACTACTACTACTACTACTACTACTACTACTACTACTACTCCTACTACTACTACTACTACTACTACTACTACTACTACTACTACTACTACTACTACTATCATAATCAGGCCCGCTAACTCAAGAGACGTTCTTTGAGGGTTACGGTATTAACTACTATGATGCACCTTTGCAGAGTGCTATTGCACCGCGATGGCTCGACTGCAATGTAAGCTACCTCCGGCTCACTCTAGTACAGTCCTCGTTGCTGAGCTATGGTATTATAAGTGGACTCATTCGGGAGTTAACGATAGTGAAGTTTTGGAACTGCATTCACAATATTATTCATAACACTCCCAAGGTGGTGCAGATGATCGTGCCTTGTTTAGAATACGGATGGGCGGCCTGTGGATCACGAGACATCATCATTGAAGGAACTGACCTTGGATGAGTAAGCATCGACTGTATGGTCTCTTAGTGGCCAGCAGCCTTTCAGTTGTTCATTGCTGAATTGTGTGTATTAGATTCAATTTTTCAGTGTCACAAGGTGTACTATATAGTTGTATTGTGCAATCAACTCCAGTATTTGTGTAGTGTATAGTTGTATTATACAATTAACTCCAGTGTTTGTGTAGTGTATAGTTGTATTATACAATTAACTCCAGTGTTTGTGTAGTGTATAGTTGTATTATACAATTAACTCCAGTGTTTGTGTAGTGTATAGTTGTATTATACAATTAACTCCAGTGTTTGTGTAGTGTATAGTTGTATTGTGCAATCAACTCCAGTGTTTGTGTAGTGTATAGTTGTATTATACAATTAACTCCAGTGTTTGTGTAGTGTATAGTTGTACTATACAATTAACTCCAGTGTTTGTGTAGTGTATAGTTGTATTTTACAATTAACTCCAGTGTTTGTGTACTGTATAGTTGTATTTTACAATTTTCTGCAGTGTTTGTATATCCTATAGTTGTATTATACAATTAACTCCAGTGTTTGTGTAGTGTATAGTTGTACTATACAATTAACTCCAATGTTTGTGTAGTGTATAGTTGTATTATACAATTAACTCCAGTGTTTGTTTACTGTATAGTTGTATTATACAATTAACTCCAGTGTTTGTGTAGTGTATAGTTGTATTATAAAGTTAACTCCAGTGTTGTGAAGTGTATAGTTGTATTATACAATTAACTCCAGTGTTTGTTTACTGTATAGTTGTATTATACAATTAACTCCAGTGTTTGTGTAGTGTATAGTTGTATTATACAATTAACTCCAGTGTTTGTATATCCTATAGTTGTATTATACAATTAACTCCAGTGTTTGTGTAGTGTATAGTTGTACTATACAATTAACTCCAGTGTTTGTGTAGTGTATAGTTGTATTATACAATTAACTCCAGTGTTTGTTTACTGTATAGTTGTATTATACAATTAACTCCAGTGTTTGTGTAGTGTATAGTTGTATTATAAAGTTAACTCCAGTGTTGTGAAGTGTATAGTTGTATTATACAATTAACTCCAGTTTTTGTGTAGTGTAGTATGTATTGTGTTTGTGTGTTTCTCAGATTCATAGCACGTCAGGAGGCTGAGAAGGCGTATCTGGCATCACAGGGGCTCACTCCTGATGATTTCCTCTTTGCTTAGTTGTCGATGTCTACTGTATAAGTGTACACAATCAGTGTTGTGTTGTAGCATTGCACATGGCCAACTAAATGACAATATGAGAATTTTGAGGAATTTTCAGGAAATTCTGTATACTCATACGCGAATTCGCATATAAACTCCTCGACGAGTTCAAGTGAGGAGAGCGAACATATGTCTAGTGAGGAGTGGACATATGAACTGATGACTGTTCAGATGTCGGTTAATGAGGAGGATGAAACTCACCGTGGCCCGACCACTGCCGCTGAGGCTCTGAAAGCGATGGGCTGGCAGTACTGGGGGGATATATGGCGGTCGATTTACTATTATATGTGAGAAACGGGGGATGCCTGTTTTGGATTTTACTCGAGGTGGGGTAGACCGATGAAGGAATGTGCGGAGGAGTTACGAATGCAGAGACGAGATGATCGCCAGTCCGCGTTGGGAGCTGTTGAGAGGAAGACGATCACTCCGTGAGTCGCGGGCTGAGATGGACATGATCAAATACATGTGTTGGTGACAATATGAAAATCTTGGGGGATTTCTGTTGGTTTCTGTACCCTTCTCCTCAGTGTGGGAAAATATGCACATGGTCAACTACATGTGTTGGTGGCGATTTGATAATTCTAAGGGAATTCTTATTGCATGTATGTAGAATTATACCCGAATTCGTATAGGAATTCCAAAAATCAGTGAGGAAACTTCCGAGCTCAGCTGAGGAAACCGAAGGTATATTGCTCCAGCACTGCTAGGAGTTTATGATGCCCTTCTGCAGGCTCGAGGGCATCCTCGTCGACGAGGCCTTCGATGCACCCTTCAACACGTATGCCGTAGCAGGTACGTGTGATCGGGGTGGGTGGGAATATGCACATGGTCAACTACGTGTGTTGGTGATAATAGAAATTCTGATTGGTTTCTGTATAATTTGACGCGGAGTCGGATGTTCTGCAGCTAGTGGGAGGTAGAAATTTATCACTCGGAAAATGTGAGAATTTCGCCCGAAAACTATGAGAAAATTTGCTTTCGACTCGGATGAGGAAAGCGAAGTCAAACACTGTATGTATGGTTGTTCAGGTCTGTTCGCACTGGTCAGTTGGCGGTTCCTAAGAGCGTATCCTCCTCTTATTAATCGTCCAGCAATCGTCTTGTCCTCTGCATTCGTAAGACATCCATGAAGTTATATCATGGCCACACGGTGCGGCTACAGCTAACGTATAAATATTAAAAATGATGATGTTGCATTACTACAATAGTCTTATTTCTATATATGCTCGCTATTTTTGAGGTTATTTACTGATAATAGTATATTGTAGTTTCACCCGTGATATGAAAAACTCTAGTGAAAAACATATTTTACATTTCACTTCGTGGTCAACAATCGTATAATCGGTCGCAAGGATATATACGTCCTCAAATTTACTTGACACTTCACTTCACGTTAAACGGGTGAAACCTCATTTGAACCCACAGTGCCAACTGTGAGTTGCCTCAGATTCCCCCTGGCTTGTTTTGTGTGTGGCGACGATCGTATATGCGTAGGGGAATGATATGTCAGTTCGTGAGTGCTCTCTTTGTGTCGTGCACTGACACAGAGTTTGGTTTTGCCCCTCAGATTTACACTGAGGGTCAGAATTCAGAGCGAGCGCAAGAGATCATTGATCTTTATCATGAGTGGTGTCCTGATGACTATGAATTTATGAAGGGCCGGCCGGGTTGGGGTTGCTACAATAACATGTAGCGCGCCACCATAGAGTCGCTAAATGGTGTTTCTGTTCACACCGAGGTGCTTGTGTTATTTGCTGTCGTTGTTGTTGTTCGGGTGGTATGTCTCAGGTATTCTGAACCTTTTTCATGGGAATAGTAAATTTGAGTATCATGATCCTCCGTGTCGGAGTTCGTGTACTGAGCGA